CCGGGGTCTGTGTTCTGTTTTTTATTTTTACTTTTCTAGATGCACTTACTTGAAAAAAGGGGTCGGCATGACGACCTGACACTTTATTTTTATAGACTCTATTGTAGTTTGACATTTATTGTTTACCTTCTGTTGTTTTATTTGATAAGAATACTTCTATTGTGCCTACAAGTTTAATACCTTTGAATAAAAGTTTTATTTTTATCACACTTTTTAATATGTTTCTTTGCGGCTTAACAAAATAGGAGTCTTTAAATGGTGCATATATTGGGGGAAATGGGTGTGGTTACGGGGGCGTGGCCACTAAAGGGTGTGGCCACTGAGGGGCGCTGTAAAGCTTTCTCGCACAGGGCGCCTAAAGGCCTAAGGCCGGCCCTGCCTAATATACCTCTAAGAACTCAATATCCAGTAATATTCTCTGCATTTAGGAATACATCCAGATTTTTTTTTTTTTTAAACAATTAACCGAGTTAGCTAGAACAAGCTCCTGGGGGAGTCTATTCCACATTTTCACAGCTCTAACTGTGAAGAATCCTTTCCGTATGCAAAGGTTAAATCTCTTTTCCTCCAGACGCAAACAGTGCCCCCTTGTCCTTTGCAGTGACCTTAACGTGAATAATTTGGCCCCAAGCTCACTATATGGACCATTGATGTATTTATACATGGTGATCATGTCCCCCCTTAGTCGCCTCTTCTCCAGAGAGAACAGATTCAGGTCAGTTCATCTCTCCTCACAGCTGAGCTCCTCCATGCCTCTTATGAGTTTGGTCCTTCGCTGCACTTTCTCCAGTTCCACAACATCCTTTTTGTGAACCGGTACCCAAAACTGAACCGCATATTCCAGATGAGGTCTTACTAATGCTTTGTACGGGGGCAGGATGATGTCTCTATCTCTGGAGCCTGGAGACCCTGTATAATACAAGAAAGCGTGTTCACAACCAATGCTAGGGGTGCAGGGGTAGAATCATTCAACCCCCCTAAACACATATACACACACACACCAGATCTTCTCAAATTATTAAGAGCTACCACTATGGGTATAGGTTAGGCTCTCCAAATGCAGGATAGAGTTTGCTTTATCCATCCGGAGACATGTGGTGGGAGGTAGGGATGATAGCCAATGTTGTGCTATAGTTCCTGGCCAGGTCCTGGGTTCTTCTAGTTATCTCTTTCTCTAAGTGAGAGTCATCAAAAGTGAGATCCGCCTTTGGCTCCGGAGAACAATAACACTGAAATTAACAGTTTACCATTTTAAAGGTATCATGCCAGTAATGGAGCTATTGTGGACATTTGCAGATTATTCCTTGCTTATTTCTGAAAAGAATTATAGAAGTTTTGAAGAAAAGGTTCATGAACAATATGTTTCGATATAAAAGTGAGAAACCTTCCAGATGACATTCAGATATTCAGAGAAAACAAAGACAGAAGTTTTGGTTGGGGTTGTTTTATAGCTAAATAAAACACACAGACC